AGAAGTGGGATGTGTGGCAGAAAAGAAATATATTTTGAGAAGAGTGAGTTCTAGGGTTTGCTTTGAAAATGGAATAAATCCGCAGAATTCCAACTTCCCGATTTTATAGAAGAAGAAGAAATTGAAGAGGCATACGAGAGGAATCAAGTCGGTCGGGGAAAGCCAAAAGTCAGTGGCGGACTAATAATTATCAGTCTCTCAAGTCGTGCGTGCAGAAAAGGTGACCGGTGGCTCTCAAGGAAGCAGCGCACGCTGCGATTCAAACCACCAAGGGCTCACCACGTGGACAGCACTCGCCAGACTCTAAAGATTTACGCGGGAACGTCCGAAGGGAGACCACGGACCTTACCGAAGGTCTTCTGAAGATAAATTGACAAACAGTTAGCGACGGTATGAATTTCGTGTGTCCCTACAGGATAACCGCAACCCCCCCCCCCCCCCCCCCCCCCCCCCCCCCCAGGAGAAGTCGACTCTAGGGATGGGGTGCAAGACAGCCACGCCCATGGGTCAAACATAACCGTACGGGGCAGTGCGGGCCTGCGACGGATGTTACGGTACCCATAACCGTAGACGAAACGTGACAGTCCCTAACACGGTCTCGGCCACTAGGTCTTGCTTGATTGTCTGATTTCTCGATTGCCTAATTTTTTGATTGCCTGATTTCTTGATTCCTTGATTTCTTTATTGCTTGATTTCTTGCTTGCTTGATTATTTGATCTCTTGTTTACTTGATTGTTTGATTTCTTTACTACTTGATTTCTTGCTTGCTTAATTGCTCGATTTCTTGCTTGATTAATCCAGCTCATTGCTTGTGCGATTGCATGGTGTTTCCCGGCATAATCGAACAATCACTTGCTCGTCCGATCGCACGTCCCGCCCGCGCACAAACCAAATAACTCTCATCCTCTGTCATACCTATAATCTCCTTCGAATCTCTTTTTCTTGGCATGCTCCTCTCCTCCACGGACTTGCTCGTCCTTAGGGACACCATTCATCCAGAAATGCAGGAATCAGGTCTGACAGGCCCCAGAGGCTCGCCCCATGCTAGCTCCCTCTGCGGACCGTGCCCTGAAGCACGCTTCCTCGCGAACTTGCTCGCCCCCGGGGCAGTATCCCCATAGGATCCTAGGGCTCAGGCCTCTCAGTTCTCTGGATCTTCCCCGCCAGTCCCCACCAAAAGGCTGAGCGACAAATCAGCGTGCTCCTTACTAACCACAACAGGAATTGAGGTCGCCGACTCGCAGACTTTCTCTTCCTGATAATTTCCTGACCTCTTCCCCTCTGGGGTACGTCACAAGCACGTTCTCAAAACCCATAAACTTCCACATAAGCACAACGCGGAGACTGTTTATGCAGTAAAGTAACACCCTCTGGAACGCTCTACTCCGCACCAGTTGCATTCGAGTAGCGACTCCCCCTTGAGTTAGCGTCCCGCGACGCAGGGAACATCTATTTATCCATCCAACGGTGCCACCCCTGGGCCTTGGGCTTGTGTCTTAGCCCGCGTCGTTGTCTTGTGCCGATCCCCATGATCACGCAAGATATGACCTCGCTCATGACCCCAATGAGCGGGGGTAAGACGGCTTCTCGTCTAGTGCCTCATGAAGCGAGAAGTAAAACTTCTCCGGGGAGATGTCCACCAGTGGCCAAGCTATCAGTTCCCCCCCACCCCCCCCCCCCCCCCCCCCCCCCCCAACGCCTATCCTCCTACCCTGAGCAAGTGTCGCACTCCCCCGGATGCACGCCCCAGTCAGGATAGGACCCCATCATTTTAACTCCCCAGGCCGAATGGTGTACTTCACCGGATGCGTAACATAGACTGGGAGAATCTCTCTATATGTATCTAGTCTGACCGTCTCACGGTTCGATCCCCCGGAAGCGTAATTCCTTCGATCAATAACGTACTCCCCGGATGCGAATAAGGTCGGAGTTGACATCTAATAAGAGCTGCCCCACGGCTCGTTTCCTCGAAAGTAAAACTCTCTCGACCATAACGTGCTCCCCCAGGACAAACGAATAAAGTCGGGGTTGAGAGTCCATTTCGGACTACTCCTTCGACCAAGGACGTCCTCCATCATGGAACGCACCAAGGTCGAAGTCGATACCCCATCTAACTTCCTCGGAAGTCCAGACCATCTATCCAGTACTGTACTCCCCCGGGATGCGTGGCACGGCTTCGATGCCATGTTTTCCTAAGATGTTTGCTGTCCATCAGAATGGGGGGGGGGGGGGGGGGGGGGGAGTTCCTAAATTTTTGCTATCATTTAGAACTTAGCTTCGCCCAGACTAGTACCGTATCTCTTGCAATACGTGGCACGGTCACCGCGTCAATCCAGCCCTTAAGCAGCACAAAAACCTAGGGAATCCGAAAAACCATGCTCATCTTACATAAAGCCAAGGAGGATTCGACTTCCCGACTCACCTTCAGATCAGCGGAGAAGTCGGGGGCAACTGTTGGGACTCATTTTACCTGGTCAAAAGAGAACCCGACACGTGGAACTAGACTGCGCTAGACGTTGACATACGCCACGCTAGCTCGGCCGACCCACTCCCGCGTACTGTTCTGGGGTAGTTGGCAGACTACCCCAAACACACCAGAATCATTACCCTCACCTGCTCCCCTGGCCCAGGGGGGGGGGGGGGGGGGGGGGAATCGACATATGAGAAGGAAAAAACCCCTATAAAAGAGGTGGTATCTGCTAATATCTAAGTCAGTCGATCTAGGCAAGCAGCACGATCACAGATGAACTTCATGTTCTTCCCGGGTGAATGCCGACCAGGTTCAGTCACTCCTAACCCAGAACCCCGCCTTCGTACTTGCCTCTCTTTCCTTTTTGTGTAGGAACCCCTTTGAAACACCTGAAAGTAGATAGCAGCCTCGATCCTTAGACGAGACTTCTCACACTAACCCGTAGAAAACTCCCCTTCCGAGTACTTGTTCCCGGTATGATGTTCATTGATTTGGGTGTCGGAGAACCTTCGGGAGGGAAACCCCCTTTCGGTCCTCCCAGAGGCTCACTGACCTTTATTTTAGTGTTCACAAGATAGAGTGCAGCATCCACCCCATCGCTTAGAAACCAGAAGCTTCCGCCCCCGAACGACTCGCCGCCTTTCCCCCAGAAGACGAAACTCAGTTCCGACGTACACTATGTCATGCTTCAGGTTGTTAAAAGGGTTAACGACTAAGCTAACCAGTACGGTGGCTAAGTTTTGGTAGAGCAGTAATGGACAGACAAGGGGTATGCATTGGGTAGCCTGGAATAAACTATGCAAACATAAAGTGGATGGTAGGCTTGGTTTCCGAGTTATTGAGGATTTTAATATTGCGCTCCTTGCTAAACAATTATGGAGATTAATAGAATATCTGGATTCCCTTTTTGCAAAAGTTTTGAAAGGACGTTGCTATAGGAATGGCACACCGCTGGACCCAATACTCATATTCTGCATCGTATGGGTGGAAGAGTATTACATCTGCTAGATCTTTGGTAAACAAAGGGCTCATCAAAAGAGTTGCTCCGGTCATTCCATTTCTGTATGGAATGATCCCTGGGTTCCTGACTCACGGCCGAGATCAGCAACGTGCAAAAGGTATAATTTATATCCTGAGCTAACAGTCAATCAACTGATTGATCCTGCAACTTCGACGTGGAATATATCGCTACTTCATCAATTAATTGTTCCCGAGGATATCTCCCATATTATTGGTCTTCCTACCACCAGGCTTCGGAGACAAGATTTTATAGGTTGGCATTTTACTAAAAATGGACGATACACAGTAAAGTCTGGATACATCACGGAACAAAATGCGCCTCTGGTGAACACACCAATATACGGACCATATGTGAGTAAGTTACAGGCACAAGTATGGTCAGTTCAATGCCCACCAAAGATGAAACACTTCTTATGGCAAGCTATTTCGGGATGTCTGGCGGTGACAAATCGTCTCAGAAATAGAGGAATTAATTGTAATCCTCAATGTCAACACTGTGGGGCCGAAAGGGAAACGATTAACCATACATTGTTTGAATGCCCACCGGCTCAGCAAGTATGGGCACTTTCAGATATACCCACACCAAATAATGGTTTTCCTACGAGTGCACTTTTCTCCAATATGGCTATGTTGTTCTGGCATTTGCCAAACCATGAAGATATGAAAGTTTATCCATGGTTGTTATGGTACATTTGGAAAATACGAAATGAAAATATCTTCTCAAATATTGACCGGGATCCACGAGAAGTCGTACGACTGGCAATAGCAGAAGCAACGGCTTGGGAGAAAGCACAACTTGACATACCAGCAATGGCCCCAATAGTACTACATGATACGGTTGATTACAGGAGTATTATGACATGTCAAACAGATGGCTCATGGAAGCAATCCAGCCTAAACTCGGAACTGGGATGGTACTGTTTAAGGAGATGAAGTATTGGGCCCCTTAATGGGAGCAAGGAATGTTCGTCGAAGTACGTCGGCTTTACATTCCGAATTAGAAGCTTTGATCTGGGCAATGCACAACATGCTAGATGCACAGAGACTGGAGATAACCTTTCTCACAGACTGTTCCGACCTGGTGAAGATGGTGTCTAACCAAACGGAGTGGTCATCATTCTGAATACATTTAGAGGAATATAAGACAAGCAGAAGAGAATTCATCTCTTTCTCGATAGCTCAAATACTACGTGCAGAACACGAAGACAGACCTGTTGACACGAAGTGCTTAAAAATGACTTTACCATCTATCTTATGTAAACTCAACTCCACCAATTTGGTTATCAACTGAGTTGGCCTAAATTTTTGAGGATGTTGAAAAAAATATATATATATTAAAATTCAATATTACTAATTTATTAATTTATCGTGGTTTTTATGTACGTATTTTGTCTTGCCATCATTTCGTAGGAGTTCGAGTTGAAAATCAAAATCCCTAAACGGTACGGAAGCGGGCCTTGTGCCGAGAAAGGTAAACTGGGCCAGAGAAAGGTAAACTGGGCCAGAGTCCCGAAGTGAAAACCAGCAACACAAACCCATATGGAGAAGCATCATAGTTTGATCTAGGGTTTCAGTTATCAGCTCATCTTCTTGTAGTTTGGTTGCGATAGTAAGTTGGAAATAAGTCATCTTCGAATCAACGGATTCATGATAAAATCCCTTTTCGAAGATTGAGTGATTCGTTCCCCTGCGGATCATGGCCTTATGGCCACGGAGAGAAGTCTTTAATGGGGAGAACACGGAGTGAAGATAACAGGTTCTATTGGATGATCAAGGATTTCTCCACTTTGCGATCTGAAATAATTTATTCTGATGAATTTGTCATCGGTGGCTGCAAATGGTAAGAGGACAACTTGTTCTTGGGTTTTTTTTTTTCTTCCGTCGAATTTTTTTGTAACACATACATTGTTCTTGAATGGTTTGTTTTGCTTATTACTGGCGTCTTATGGCCTATCCCAGGGGAGACAGGACTAGGAAGTATATGTCTCTGTTTCTAGAGGTTGCTGATTCTAAACATTTGCCTTGTGGATGGAGAAGACGGACAAAAATTTTCCTGGAGGTTGTAAATCAACGTTCGAATCAACTCTCAGTACTGAAAAGTGATTCTTTCAACACTCTTTATGATTATATATTTTCTTAGTAAAGATTCAGACTTTTGTGTTTCTATTAGAGTTATATGTTTCGTGAAACTGCAGGTAAACCCAAGTGGTTTGATCAGAAGACTCCCGCCGCTGGTTTTGTAACCATGATTCCTCGTTCTAAGCTTTTTGATGAAGAAGGGTTTATTGAAAATGGAGATGTCATGATTGGAGTCACCATAATTGTTTACAAAGTTATTGGCAAAGTGGTAGAGCTCTCTGAAGAAGAGGAATCTGAGAATGATTCTGAAGAGGTGTCTGAGAAGGATTCAGGGGAGGAATCTGAAGAAGGATCTGAAAAGGAATCATCTGAAGAGTCAATCACTCCTCTGAAGAAGACTAAGCTTAATGATGATGGTGATTTACTCAACGATACTCGACAAGTGAAGGAAAGCATTGATGTAAATGGTTTTCAAGTTCTTCCTTCACAGGTAACAAACAAGTTGAATAAAGATGCAAACTTTCAAGTTCTTTTTTCGATTGTATCAGTAGTAGAACATTTCTAAATACAGAGAAAGTCACCTACTATAAGTGTATACCCTTCTGCTTTTGGATTTGTTTAATTATTCATCTTTTCTCCTTTGGAGGTGGATTTGGTGAGACGTATATTTGAAAAGTACCCAGACATGGCATTAGAGTTCCGAGCAAAGAACCAACATTTAAGAACAGCTTCCATGAATGTCCTACTCAGCCTAATCGAGACACTGTGCCAGTCACCTCAAGAGCTCTCCAATGAAGATTTGGTGGAAGGAGAGAGTGCATTAGCATACGTGCAAGACGCTGGCTTTAAGGTGGATTGGTTGGGGGAGAAGCTGGAGGAAATGAAGGAGAAGAAGAAGGAAGAGCGAAGTGGTGAGACTCAGATTCAAGAATTAGAGGAGGAGATAAAGAACATTAGGCAGAAAGTGTTGGCCGCTAGAGTTTCTCTGACATTGGATGATTTCTTCTGACGACTTGTGTTCTACTTGTTACAGTCTCTAGGTTCCGAAATTAGAGTCCTCTTAAAACTTAGGAAGCTAGTGAGACCCATGAAGGAATCGCAAGTTTCCACATTTTTTAAAGAACTAACTTTGTTAGGAAGAGGAGTAGCTAGGATATTAAGAATGTAAACGGATGATCATCGGTAAAGAGTTTTATTTGAGCTCTCTATTTTCAGGTTTATGCTGTCAAGCTTGTAAAGTGAGTCCTTTTTTATGCGGTTTCTATTCATCAATGGAAACAACAATCCTGATAACTTTAACAAGCAAGAAGAGTCTCTCTTTAATCTTTGTCACATCTTAGAGAGAATATTAGAGCACCTCCAATGGGGGACTCCTAAAATCATCTTTCCTCAAAAAAAAATTATAAAATATTAAAAAGGTAGAAAGAGAACAAGAGACACTTCTTATTTAACAAGTTTGGGAAGCGAGTCTCACAATTTAAAGAGCTTCCTTTGATATGTGTAACTTTCTAATTGGTGTAAATTCTTGTTGATTAAAATATTAATATATATATTTTTTTTAGAAACTTTTAAGGTCTCTATGCATTGGAGATGGTCTTAGAGTGTATGATCAAAACCCTTCTTCCTTTTCATATATCACTCTAGAGCATGATATTACTTGGTACACCTTCAATCTAATATAACTGTAACAAAACGTCTCAGACTCGGATTCTATGTGTTAACAAGTGTTTCGAAAAAATGTTATCTTCATTTTTCTTTCTTACATTTATGTTGTTACATTTCCTGGAAAAAACGTTCTTAGATCAAACAATAAAGAGAGAAAACAAAAGTGTTTATTGAACTATGGAGACTGATCTGTTACCACCATTGCTTTTACTTGATACTGTATAGTGACTTGAGCTGCTGACTGATCAACCTGCTGCTATGAATAGCTGACTGAAGCTCAAGATTATCAGACCACCATTGCTCTAACCCGTGCGCCTCAAGAAACTTCTGTTTCCCTTTGGACATCACAAAAAGCTTCGCAGCTGCTTGAGGAATAGCATTCACAACAGGACTATTGTTCTCCTTATCGCTCACTTCTCTCTTCTCACTTACTCCATCTTGATCAGTGTAGTGACAACAGATATAGTCACTATCATTCACATACAAATGAGGAACCCACTTTCTCAAATCCACAGAAGGTTTCTGTTTCTGATTCTGCCCGTAAAAGCTCGGTACCCAATTCCTAAACCCTCCTGAAACACTTCCAGGAGAAGTCTCTGCTTCATTTGGAATCAAAGTCTCGGTTTTTGGAGGAAGCATCGACATGAGTCTTTTCCAAGCACAACCAGCTTTCTCACCGATGTTTCTTAAGCTCATAGCTAAAGATATAGAAGGTGGATTGAACAAATGAGCATCCACAAAAAGCCCTTCTTTAGCTAAGGCCTTACCTACTTGTAGAGCAAAGCCAGCTCCTAAAGAATGACCAACGATACAGACGTTACTGCTTCCATATCTCTTTGCTACTGATTGAAGCGCCTCGAGAGCGACATTGAACCTCACTGAGCCTTTAAGGCTCTCCCAAGCTAAGAACCTGAGATCATCTTCGATGTCACGTCTCATTGTGAGACTCTTTAGTATCGTTCCTCGCAAAGCAAGTACTGCTTTTGGTGCTCCACTTGGTCTGATGACGACTAAATCTGCCATTGCAGCTGCTCTGTCCCATTCAAGAACCGCGCCGAATATTGATCCGTCTCTCTCGTCGATCAGCGTTTGCGTTAGCTTGTACTTGAAAGGAATCCACCATTTTGGAGCTAGAGCGTTTTGCTCGTTTCTGTTCTCTTGTCTGTCGAGTTCAAGTAAGTATGCTGCTTGAATAAAGCATGCCATTACTGTTCTCTTGTAGTTAGGATCCTTCCTACACATACACAAAATCAGAACCAAAAGGTTAAAGCTTTTGCTAAAACATTAGCAAAGGAGTCATTTTTAAAAAACTTCTCACATTACATGACTATCTTCAGACACCAAAACAGAACCAAAAGGTTAAAGCTTTTGCTAAAACATTAGCAAAGGAGTCATTTTTAAAAAACTTCTCACATTACATGACTATCTTCAGACACCAAACTAGAGTAATTAACTAATTAAGCACAACGCTTAGGTAAAGTTTAGATTGTTCCTAGTTTCATAATGGTTGTTAAGAACTTATAATTTGTTCCTAGTTTCATAAAGCATGACATTATTGTTTTCTTAAGGTTGGGGTCTTTCCTACATATACAGAAACCAAATTTTAAAACTTTTGCTCAATTAGATTTCATACTTATCAGATTCTTCAAGATAATTACTTGCAAACCAAAAAAAAATAGCTGACTTAAACCTCTCACATTACATGATTAGCTCGAGACACCACCATATAAGGTAATGAAGAATTAGATCAGGATGCAGAAAGAATTAGATCATAATGTCAAAACAGAGTATTGCATTAACATGACCCATCTTGAAATTCTCGAGCGAGTAAAACTAAGTTTCTCGCAAGAAAAGAAAACAAATCTGTAATTTACACAACAGATTAAGCTGAATAAAATTTCCAACCAAATTTAGTTTTCGATTACTTCAGATCCGAAGAATTTAAACAGGGTTTTGCTTCAGTGTCTCATAAACATGAGATTCAAAGATGTCGAAAGCCAAAAATAGAATTTTTCTTAAGAAATCAACCCAAATCCAGAAACTAATTTCCATTAGAGAAAATAACAGAGCAATCAAAGGCACACTCTTACCAACTAGAATTGATGAGATCTCTCCAATTAGGAGAAGCAACGTTTCTCGGTCCCGAAACGTGAAACGCGTAAGGATGATGCGTTTCATCTTCCTTCATCACCACCGTCTTTGGAGTCCCCGGCGAAGAAGCCAAAGCGGCCGCCATTAACGCCACGGATTCAGAATCCATCATCTCTTCTTCCATCACCGGCCCACAATTCGCCATCAACATTAATAAAAAAGCCCTTTCTGCTTCTTCTTCTTCTTCTTCTTCTTCTTCTTCGGTTTAGGGTTCTTCTTCTTCTACGCAACTATAGAATCACTCGCTCTACTTAGTGGGTTTTTGGAATTTTACTTTTGGAGAGAAATGCAAGTGGAGAAATTCGGATTCGATCGCATGGGAATCGGATTCAAGCGTTGGAACTGTTCTAAAGTTGGATTTTTTTTAAGATTGTGATGTAATTTTGGAATTTAATTAAATGATTTGAAACGCCTGAGATTTGCGGATCTATCAAACGGTCATCTCCTTTTTGTTGTCGGCTTCTATCGAAATACCATATTTACCCTTATCTTCTAGTCGTGTGAGGGTCTTTGCTTAAGGGGTAAAACAGGTAGAACGGTAAATTAGTACACGGTAGAGAGAGTGGAGCCAGAATGCAAGCGCGTATGTGTGTGTTGTGAAAGATTACCTTTCAGTATTGATAACGCTAATGATATTACTAGAAGTTTTATTTAATTTTTATACTCGTTTGGTTTGTGTATACATTTTCTCTCTTTATCAATTTTTTTTTTAGTTTCATTATGGTATCTGATGAATTAAATCTGCCAAACATAGGGTTGCACAACGAAGGAACTTGCTCGAATTTTGAAAATATTAGTTTCAAATATCTCTAGAACTCATTGTTGACATGTAAATCAGTTAATCAAAGTGGAGATCAATTGTTTGATTCAGCAAAACAATCCCTAAAGGTTATAGTCACACCCACTTCCTTCCATTTGCTCCGGTCGAACTAGTGGGTTATCAGCACAGTAACGAAGATAACTACAGAACACCTCGAAGCAAATAAACTTTCAGGAAACGGATTAGAGTTTACTAGCTATGATTATTTTCCCGAAAGACATGCAAGATGGTGATGGTCGCAAACGTTGTAACCCGGAAAGAAAGCTGAAGACATGAAAGGCTTTTCGTCAATAATTTATCGACCATCCTCTTCCACCAAATCTTGTTTCTACAATTTATTTCATTTATTTTAATTTATTTTTGTTTTTACAATTTTTATATAAGAAATATGTATAGGTTGGGAAGAAAAAAAATGATACTGGCTTCAACTGATGACAAAATAAATGACCTCTTTATTCGCGAAATTTTTTACTAGTTACTAGTAATAATGTTTTCCTAAGATTATCCACAATGGTTTTTCTATTCAAAACTCTCCACTTCACTTTTTAACACTCTACATCATCTTTTCTCTCTTCCACATATTTATTTTACACTTTCATAATTTTTACACTTTACAATGGTTTGTTTAATAAAATTCAACACTATATCCTATATTAATTATTAGAGTTTAAATAATTTAGATGAGATAAAATTCTTACAAATTTGAAAAACCAATAGAAAAATTACACATTTTTCTAAAAATAGTATAGATAATTTTAATGTACCACTTGAGTGACAAATCCATTAAATTCATCCTATCATATTTTGAAACCACTTTTCGTGGGATCCATTGTTTTATATTTCAATATGTTGAATATTTTCAGCAAAATTTAATCCATATGTATTCACTACCCACGGAGTGGTAGACTGAAGACCAACTGAATCTCGACAAAGATAAGTACAAGCAAGTAGATCATTCGACGTCAGAGGGACTCGTTAAATGAATTAATCTGTTGAACAATTTATTCAATACCTCCATTGTGAGTAGTCTTATCATATAAAGAATTACAGACAAATGTATTTCTTATTAAATTTGAAGAGAAACAATATATATTTATTTAGGTTATTATATATATTTTATTCATATACATTATAGCTTCAACTTGTGACCAATAAAAAAGGAATATGAATGAAAAGAAACAGAATGAAAAGAGCAAAATAAAAAAATAAATAAGAATGAAATATACATAAGAAAATAAATAAATATATTTTTTTCTCCTCAAATTTTATAAAAAAATAAATTTGTTCTATAATTTCATACTAGGTAATCGGTCCGCACCGTGTGCAGGTTATAAAACATTTTATATGCTCAATATATGATAAATATAGTATATTAAAGATGTTTTATTTATACATGATTAATTATGTATTAATAATATTATTATATAAATATTTACTAATAAAAATGATAAATCAAATGAAAATATTATAGATTTCAATAAGAATTGAAGATAAAAAAACATTAACCAATATTTAAAATACTTCCTCAGATAAAAAGTGTAAATAAGATAACTAAATAAACTAAAAAATATTAATTATATAATAATTTATTTAATTTTTATTTTTTGCCTGCACACATGTGCCAGTATAATTTTTTGTAGACATAATTAGTTGTAATATTTAAGTATTGATTAATTTCCGTATATATTACGTAAGTGTTATATTTTTTTTATACATATACAGTTTTAGTGGTTAACAACAATCACACAAACGTTTCATATCGTTTTGTGTCTTTTAGTAAATTTTTTAGCATTTATAGTAATATATAATTGCAAATGTTAAAGTTATATTAAATAATAATTAAATTCTTATAATATATTGAATATTATCTATACTATGCTTTTTTTCTTACACAATATTATATTATCAATATATATATTTTAAGTATACATTTTTCCTTGACCTAATAATAACTAATTCAAACTGATTTTTATCATCTTTACTTATCCTAAGAGCGGATAGATGGTTGGTCCGCACATTCGTGCGTACCAATCACCTCACCGCTCTTAGGACACATATAGTTTTTTTTAAAAAATATATAAATTATCTAACATCTAAAATTAAAATTAGACTGTAATTAAGTTTAACAAATTATATGCACGACAAGTTCGCTTGCGACTTTGACTTTTGAACAATTTATATTTATATTTACATATATATTTTTGAAAAATCAAAATATGGCTTTTGTGTGTTAAAAGAAAATAACAAAATATATATTTTGTAATATATATTTTTATAATGTGTGGTTGAATTTCTTTTTGTAAATAATACATATATTTATGTATGTAGGTATAAGTGAAATAAGTGAATTGTAATATTTAGGTGTTGGTTAGTTTTCTGATATTTTCTGCAAACGTTATATTTTTATACAATACAGTTTTTGGCGTTTAACAACAATCACGAAAATCGTTTCTATCGTTTTGTATTTAATCAAAAAAATTCTTATTTTCAGTGTTTTATGATATATGGTTTCCAAATAAATAATAATAATAAACATTGATTATAAAATTTGTGAAATCATAATTTATAAAATTCCCTAGTAGCTCTCCGCTCATCTCTTCGTCAAATTTTTTATATTCCACAATTGGTCGCTTCCACAAATTCTCAGTAACTGCAGCGTTTAAACAAGTCAGATCTAAACTTATATGTATATGATTTAAGATGTACAATAATATATTTAATTTTTGACTGTTATATTAAAAATTAAGAATTTTTCTGTTCCAAACTTTAATATATTTGTTAGTACAAAATATAATAGATCACAACATATACAAAACTTGATTCATGAAATAATGTTTTAATATGTTGGAAAAATATATGCATGAAAGATTAATATGTGTAAGATAATATTTTTAAATATCTCAAATAAAAACATAAAATCAATCAAAATTATTCTTCTTTATTTTTTTTGTCTTCTTTGATTCATATTTTTTTTTCTTAACATTGAATAACATATTAACGATTAAGATCTTCTCCAATAAAATTTTCTATTTTTTCTTCTAAAATATAGGTGGATTTCTCTCCAATATATTTCAATTTTACAGGAAAAAGAAAAATTGTTACTTTTTCCCCCAATTATAGAGGAAAGAATAGCATCTTTATTTTTTCTTATTAGAAGATCTAAAATAATAGTTGCTTGGAGATGATTTATACCAAATATATAGCCTGAGATTTTTTACAAAAAACCAAAACTGTAATGATTCATTTTTATTTTTACTTATAATTTTTAATCATATATATAGGATTATAAAAAAAGTTTGCTAAAAAAATACTTATAATTTATTTTAATCAGATACTTATAATAAAAAAAAGTTTACAATATTTCTAAGTTGATAACTAGGTTTTTCTTTGTCAACCAATCTTGTTACGACTTTTTTTCTTTCTTTTCTAAATTTTATAACTATTGAATTAAATGGAAGACGGGGAGTCTTTGATTTGTGTTTTTTTTCTTTCCATCTGATAAAATATATTGAGAATTAACATTACAACATTCATCGATGATTTACTAAAACCAGACTTGCATGATACTAAAGTTAAACTAAACACTCAATCATGCAAACAAAAAATCTCTTAGTATGAAACTATAAGCATCCAAGTAAGCACAAAAGATATCAAAACAAAAAACTATAAGCATCCAAGTAAGCACAAAAGATATCAAAACAAAAAGAGAATCATCTTTTTTTCATCATTAAAAAGCTGAGATAACCAATGTGGAGATCCGGAAGCTACATATGATTGTCACCGGTTCTTCTTAGTTACTCTGTGTGCGATGAGTGTGTACAAAAACCACTGAAAAAGCTAAGGTTTCACAATGGCATATATATTTCAAAAACCATGTCCTGCAAAAAGATCAACAACCATTTTCATAACAATGTAACACAGCTCTTGTATTAAAACACCCATCAATGTTTGAGTTTATCCTCAAGCTTCCTCAACGTCTTACTCTTCCGCTGCCTGGAATCAATCAACAAGATCGAAAAACACTTTTACTTAATGGCACACTTATTATTACAAATTGCGTACACATGGAGAAAATATTAAACTGTTCTGGTTCTCATAATAATCAACTATTGTTCTTCATTTCTACAAAAATAAAGCCAGTTTCGATCCTTGACTCCTATCAGGTACCTATTACTAATGTCTTTGATAGTAAAAAGCAAAAGATGTATCTGATATCACGAATCTGTAACCGTAGGTAAATAAAGGCAGGCATGTGTACAAATCATATTTATCTTTAAGCAACTATGGTTTATGGAAACCCTCTAATTTCAGCAACATTTCTCACTTATAGCAAGATGATCAAAGAAACTACGCGTATTGGGATTCCCACGATTAAAGGCAGAACGTAAAGGATAAGAAAAACTCCGACTAACCTGAGATACAGAAGTCTCTGTACTCTTGGGAGCTAATAAAGTGGCTGATGTTGAAGACGATGCATCAAAGACACGAGAACACTCTGTATATGCAGAGCCAATACCGATTCCAGCACCAAAAGCAATCGAAGCCCATCTCGTAACAGGACTCCCTAAGGCAACACAAATATGTAAAAAATAACTTGATTATAAAAACACAAACCGTTTCAAGCTTTAGTGATCCTTCATAGATGGATCTTCTACCAGAATTAAGATGATTCAAATCTAAACAACACACTCGAAAACCCTATTCGATTGTGACCTTCGATTCATTAGCTAGAAATCTAATTTGTAATCTCACTATGTAATTGCAATTGCAAAATCATAAGAAGAGAGTGGGGATGTTGAAATCACAGAACTGAAGAAGAGAAGACCGGCGAACGCGCCGCCCAGGGAAGAGTAGACAACGCGACGGGCAGTGAGATCGAGACAGGCGTCCCATTTGGCGTTGACATCGGACTCGCTGTTACTCTTCTTTTCCATTTGTCCGAGGAATCGCTGTTTATCGATTTCGTCCATATCTGTCCCGATGGTCGAAAAGCTTCTTATCGCCGGGATGAACGTGGACCGCTTCAACTTCTCTCATGGAGATTGATTGCGAGTTCTCTTTGATTTTTCTGGTAATTTGATGAAAAATTTGTCCGATTGTGAGCTCTCTTTGTAATGGTTTTTTCTTTTGTAAACGGTTAAACAAAATTTCCTATTCTAAATCACTAAACAGCATGTCACATTTCTAGCATGACATTCTTTTGCATTAAGTTTTGTTGTGCAAAAGACATATCAGTTTTTGTTAGTAAAAGTGTGTCAAATCAACACAACAATAACACATATATCTCTTCATAGCTTGATATATTAGTTTTTTCAAGTTATCAAAAACTAACATATTAACAAAATCAACAACCAATCAAAACATTATAATTAATACATATTATTTACTAATTTTTATTATTTTTTTAAATTTAAACTCAGTAAAACCTCAATATTTTTTTTGTTAATCTTTGTTTTATTTTTTGCAAAATCCAAACTCAAATAATAAATAACAGCAAATAAAAAATATAAATCTTTGTTTAATTTTTTTTCCAAACTCAAGTCTAAATAATAAATAACAGCAAATAAAAAAAATCTTTGTTTTATTTTTTACCAAACCCAAACCCCAATAATAAATAATAGCAAATAAAAAATTTAAAATTTTGTGGATATATTAACTTTGACTAAACGACAAACTTATTACAATTTTTTGTTGATGCACTGTAACTTTGTATGATTCAGATATATCTTAACCTAAACTCGAAACAACGGAGCTTAGTTCTATATGTGAAAAAGTTTAGAATCGTTTTGTTATTGTTGTGAAACAGAGCTGAAAGATGTGCCAGTGGCGATGGTAGCTAAGTTAGTATCTGAGCGTGCGATGAAACAGTGTTATGGGCTCGGTTTGAAATTTTCTCAAAAATCTCTAAATGTAGCACGTACACACCACTACTTTTATAAATTGCATCTTTTTATCTTTCACGGTATCCGAAAATCTTATATGTACCCTTTTGTTTGTTGTATGAACAGAAAAAAGAGAGAGTTAGTATTGTGGTTGGTTTATAATGTAATATGCATCAAAATATTTTTAATTAAGAGCTTTGTATTTGTGCTTTTGAATCTTTCTTTCCTTAATCTATAATAGTAATCTCTGTTAAATCATCAAAGCATTGCTCACCGTAGCAAATTCATTAAAAATATAAACCGAATTAAACTGAAAAACAAAGCAATGAGAATGATCAAGAAAAATAAATGTGGCATTTTCTTAACCAAATCAAGCTTTGGATTAGACTTGTGTGAGGCTTCTTGTGTAGTCGTCGTCCATGATCTTTTGAGATGTTAAGTATACATTGTTTTTAGGATTTGGTTTCTCTCCAGATCCAATTTGGAATTTTATTGGAAGAGTTATAAACCCAAAAACACACAAAAAATTAATTATTGTTATCAAATTTGTTTTTTTAAAAAGTATCAACTGTTTATTATTCACAAACCTTTGTAAGGAAAACATACAAATGTGATTTTCAAGTGGAAGTTGAACCAATTTATAGTGCCTTAGTTGAGATTTCTGTTGAATTTAGTTCGCTAGGTTGGTTTCGACAAAGACTATTAAAAAATAACGTAAGAATTATTGAAACACTTGAAATTAATAATGCAGTGAAAAACTCTAATGAAGAAGATACTTACCCAATTCACAGAGTCTCGGGAAACTAAAAGATGCATAGTCATCACAAGAGATGATGAGATGCATAATCTCACTAGATCTCTTCCTACAATTGTGTCACTTGACGAATTCATGTCACTAATAGTTTCAGAATCTCCATTTGACTCTTTCACTTCAGATGTTAGAAAATGATCATTGTTTCGTATAATAATGATGGGAAAATAGTTTTGATTTAAAAATAGGTATTTTTTGTTCAAAAACAGAAAGAGATATCAAAATACTGAAAAAGATAAGTTTTATCGTTTTATAGTTGGCATCTTTATTTTTTCAGATTTAACATTTTAAATTTATACGATAATTGTCGACAGTCTTCGATGATATAAGTATCGTATGTGTAAGATCAACATTTTTATACTATACGATTGAAATACCATATCAGTTCACAAAGAAGACAAAGTAAGGATAAACCCTAAGGTGATAACATTTAAATGTAAGGACTATAAAAATATGCCAAACATTTATGAACATATCTTGAGTGAAATAATGGTTATTTCTATTTGTTATAAAACAGATTGACATAAGGTTTTTTATTAATGAAAAATATTTTGATAAAAATAGATGAAAATTTGTATTAAAGAGTAGTTTTATTATGAAATTTTATATTTAAGATATTTTCCGTTCAAAATGAATATATATGAGAGTTAATTTCAATCTTGACGTTTTACATTCACAACTTAGATATAGTTTTACATCATTTAAGTGTTTATTAGTGTTTTAATTCGACATCAACTTACCATTACAACCATTTATGTCCCTTTGAATACAACAAAATATCTAATACAAATATTTTGCTAAGAAAACTCATATTGACACAAAAATTTTAAATGATGTAGCATAAATTAACGTTAAGATGGTTTTACTATTAAGTTTCAAAACTTTAAAGTTTGGAACACTATTTTAAATAATATTCCTATGCCAACATGTACAAAAAGTCTTTAATCAAGAAATGGCAGATCATTAGATACTCTGAACATGTTTTGGAGAAAAACAACTAAATAGGTGAGCGATCATTTTTTAAGTTAGAAAATATAAAACTATGATGAAATTTAGTAGAGTGTCATATGAGTGGATTTTTGTATCAATTTAGAGAGATGCCAGTTTAAGACAGTACCCTGAATTATGCTCTTGATAGGAGGAGATTTGGTTAGGTGTAGTCTTATGCTTTGTGGTGACCAAAACTTATAATTTGGAAAACAAGGTTTATAATAATGAAAATCAGGAGCAGATTTATAAGTTTGTTTAGTTGAGAGCACATAAACTTCTTTAATTATAAGTAATAAGTGTGTAACTAATTCTGAATCAGGAATATTTAAATAAGTTTTACACTAAATACTAAAGTTAAAGAACTGCACATAAGCATGTTCCCCTGTATGTGTTGCTTTACATCCACCTCTGGTAAAAATTAGATAAACTATGACTATGACACAAAATACAACTAAACAGAATTTCATATATAGATTTTTATATTTCTTAATATATATATATATAATATTCATTTTAATATATTTTTATTTTATCAATGTATAACATTAAATAAATAAAAAGATAATTAAGAAATAACCTGCAATGTAGCGTGCGTATATACCTAGTAATATATAAGGTTTGATAAGGAATAAGAAGGAATGATAGAAAAACAATATTCCTAGAAAATGGTAAATAATTTAAAGAATGAAGATGAATTCATTATTCTTCATCGTTCCCTTGTTCCTTTCAATATTTTCTTTTTCATTCCTATTCTTTCTTTATTGGTCAAAGCCACTGTATATTGGATATAATTGGTATATAATGCTTCTCCTTTGACTATAATATTTTTGATGTAGCTTTGGAAACACTTTTATGAAATAATGTGAATATAATAAAATGTAGTTGGTATACATAATAAATGTTTTGAATATATGCATTTCGCAACTTCATTAATACTTAAACTACCTTCTATATAATATGCCAATGTTTTTGGCTATAAATAGATTTAACATTGACCCTGAAAGACATAATTAAAAAAAAAAGAAAAATCAAAAGTGAAAAGTGAAAAGGAAAATTAAAAAAGAATGTTGAAGTTCCTTGTTGTCTTTATTATTTTCAGTTTGTTGTTTGCTGTTCAATTTTCTAATGTAAAAACTCATAAACTTTTTTCATTTTTTGGTTTATGAAATCTTTAAAATTAGTTTCTTATACTAATATATATATATATATATATATATATTTTGTATAGGCTGAGAAACCAGAAAGTCTATCTGAAGCACCTGTAATTCATAAGGTATATTATGTTATAAAACTTTAGCGATCATAAAAAAATAATTTAATGCATTAAATTTGTGTCATAATTTATAAACAAACTAATAATGTGCATCACTAAAAAAAATATTCAGATGGGAGGAGAAGGTTCACTTACTCCAGAAGGTAACATTGTTTTCTATAGTTTATATAATCGATAAATGGACCGAATGAGATTTTATCACTGACTTTGTAATTTATTCAATGTTGTTTAATATTTATGTGAAGAATGTCCGAAGGCATATAATTTCCGGTGTTCAGCGACGTCTCACAAGAAGACCTGTTTGTTTTATTGCAATTATTGTTGTAAGAAATGTTTGTGCGTACCATCAGGAACATATGGACACAAAGAAGAATGTCCTTGCTATAATAACTGGCATACCAAAGAAGGTGGTCCAAAATGTCCATAATAATTTATTTTTTTTTTGTTTTCTCTTAATAATATATATGTATTTGGTAATGTTTATTTTAATATATAAAATAAAATTTGAAGTCTTATTCTATTGCAAAGTTATGGCACACATACATAAATTAAGGAAAAATTGGCTCCAATAGTCTCATAACTTCAATTAACTAGTCTTATAACTTATAATTAAGGATGGTTATTGGGAAAAAATACAAAGATTTTTTTTTAAAAATCAAAATATAATATCTAATTTTATCATGAAAATAAATATAGTACATTGGATAATATATTATTAACTTTTAATTTTCAAAATATTATAATAAATATTTGTTACAAAATTTATAAAATCATATTTTATAAAAAAATTTCTTAGCTCTCCGTTAATTTCTTCATCCAATATTGATGAATTGGTTTAAAGAAGAAAATAAATTTCTTATGGCTGGCCTACACATATGTATTTATTATAAAATTTGATCCGCACATGTGTTTATTATAAAATTTGCTTCTTAAAATTTTACTGAAATGACTGTATAAAACAAATCACAAGAGTTTACTAAAAAATAAAACTGTAGAGATTTATTTTTACTTCAAATTTTTTATTCATATTTATTTTATCTTATTATAATTTATTTTTTTATCCGGTCATTTTTTTGTTTTATTTCTGATCTCAAATTCTTGATCTACAGTGAGACTGTATATATATGAGTATGATATAAACTTTTCTTTTATTTAAAAAAAATATAAGAGATAAAATGAGATGGTAATGAAAGCGAAGTAAATGGCAGAAAACAACAAAAAATACTAATAAACTTATATACAAATAGTTATATATCGTACTCCCAACAAGTACATATTGTTTTACCAACTCCTTCGAGGCAACAAATGATTCGAGTGGGACGAGAAGTGCGAGGAAACATTCTTATAACTCAAAACGTACTTATCAACACCTCCGATCCTGGCCAAGCATGAGCACGGCGACACTCTGTTCCTTTACATCGCAGTTTCCAGCACGGCAATTAGTGGCGTCTTGGTTTGCGAAGACTGTGGCGCCTATCAAGAGCCCCAACAACACTATGATAAGGAAGATAAGAGCCGTAAGAACGTCAACACCGTTGCTCGCCAATCACGCTGGTACACCTGAGACTGCCAAAACACCAAGGATCCCAATAATAAGAAACCGTACTGCACTTATCATAAACTGCACGGCCATCATACAGATGATTGCCAAACTCTGACAGCCTTCTTAAGGAAAAAATGAAAAGATGGTGAATGCAGCTTGCTAGAACTAAGGAACCAGGAAAGACGATCCGACAACAATCAGGACAGACAACCTGACAACAATCAAGACAGACATCCCGATAATGATCGCACACCTGAAAAGCACGACGGGAAGGAGATAAAACGAGATCGAGAGGACGATCAGACACCTCCGACCTCACCGTAACGACATATCAATATGATTATAGGCGGACTCCTCTCTTGCATTGATTCCATCAACTCGATCAAACAGTATGAGCGGAAAGCCGTAAACCCACCAAAGGATGCCCTGCCGTTATTCCAGGACAACATCCCAATCACGTTCACCGAACAGGACACACATAGTATAGATCGACCTCATAACGATCCCCTCGATATCTCACTTCGGCTCGGTGAGGATGACGTCTGGAAGATCTTAGTCGACACAGGCAGCTTTGTCAACCTAATTTTAATGGACACCCTGTGAAAGATGAACATTATCGAAGGAGAAATTAAAATCGCACCATCACCGCTCACGAGTTTTACTGGCAATTCTATTTCAACGATCAGCACAATTACACTACCCATTACGGTCCACCGAAAGGTAGTGATGATCAAATTCGAGGTTATTGACTGACCAAACATCTATAACGCTATCCTCAGCACGCCTTGGATAAACACGATGCGAGCTGTCCCATCATCTTATCATCAATTAATCAAAATGCCGATCAGAGGTAGTATCTTCACCATCTGTGGTGATCAGACAGTCTCTCGACATTGTTACATCGACAAATAACGCGCTCGAAACGCCTCCACTTTCGTCATCGGCAACGGTCACGATTTTAACCCACATATTGTTTACCACAAGAAGCCGAAGAATGACCGCGTTACTCAGGTGAACATCAACAATGCTCATCCTGAACAATGCATCATCATCGGCACGGAGCTACTGCCATGCATGCAGGACGAACTTCTCGCTTTCCTTCGGGAGAATGTTGGTACTTTCACATGGTCAATGGCCGACATGATAGGTATCAGCCCTGAGATCACCGACCACGAACTACATGTTGACCTCACTTTCAAGCCAATCAAACAAAAGCAACAAAAGCTGGGACCTGAGTGAGCACAAGCTGTACACGATGAAGTGGACAAACTACTGAAGGCCGGATCGATTACTGAGGTGAAGTACCCGGACTAGCTAGCCAACCCAGTGGTAACCAAGAAGAAGAAAGGCAAATGGCAGGCTTGCGTCGACTTCACCAACCTCAACAAGGCCTGCCCTGAAGATAGCTTCCCACTTCCTCGTATCGATCACCTAGTCGAAGCTACTGCAGGCAACAAACTCCTTTTGTTTATGGATGCCTTTTCAGGATAAAACCAGATTCTCATGAATCCGGACAACAGAAACAAACCGCATTCATCACAGACCGAGGCACTTATTGCTACAAGATTATGCCTTTTGGTTTAAAGAACGCTGGAGCCATGTATCAGCGCCTGGTTAATAGGATGTTCGCCGATCAGCTGGGCAAGACAATTGAGGTCTATATAGACGACATGCTCGTCAAATCAGTCAAGGCAGCCGATCACATCAATCATCTCTGGGAGTGCTTTCTAATACTTAACAAATACGACATGAAGCTCAACCCTGCAAAGTGCACTTTCGCAGTCACATCAAGAGTTTCCTAGGCTACTTGGTCACACAGCGTGTGATTGAAGCCAATCCCAAACAGATCTCTGCAATCCTGGAGTTACCTTCACCAAAGAATACACGTGAAGTCCCACGTCTCACTGGTAGGATAGCCATACTGAACCGATTCATATCGCGCTCTACCGACTAGTACTTGTTGTTCTACCAACTCCTTCGAGGCAACCAATGATTCGAGTGGGACGAGAAGTGCGAGGAAGCATTCTTACAACTCAAAACGTACCTATCCAACACCTTCGATCCTGGCCAAGCCTGAGCACGGCGACACTCTGTTCCTTTACATCACAGTTTCCAGCGCGGAAATTAGTGGCATTTTGGTTTGAGAATACCGTGGTGAACAGAAACTGATCTTCTACTTCAGAAAAACGTTGGACGGTGCTGAATCTTGATATCAACCTTGGAAAATCTTACTCTTGCAGTCGTCGTCGCCTCCAAAAAACAATGTCCTTACTTTCAGTCACATTAATTAGTCGGTTGATTGGTCAACCTCTTCGGAAAATTCTACAAAGCCTGACGTAATTCGGACGCATGACAAAATGGGCTATCAAACTGTCCCAAATCGATATTGAGTACCAGACGCGAACCATTGCGAAGTCCCAAGTCCTGGCAGATTTTCTCATTGAACTGTCCCCTGAACTCCTGAATACCTACCCGACGAACTTCGAAAGGTGGACTCTACACGTCGACGGGGCACCATCTTGCTTGGGCTCCAGCATCAGCATCCTGTTAGAATCTCCAACTGGAGAGCTCATAGAGCAATGTTTTCGCTTAGAATTCACTGCATCCAACTATGAGGCCGAATACGAAGCACTTATCGGAGGTTTCCTTCTTGCCCGAGGAATTAACATCCAGCATATACGAGCATTCAGTGATTCACAGCTCGTCGCTAAATAATTTAGTGGAGAATACGAAGCCAAAGATGATCGCATGGACGCATACCTAAAGGTAGTCAAGCAATTGGCAGCAGAGTTCACAACTTTTGAGTTACTTTAAATTGACCGATCTGCAAACAAGGGCGCTGACACTTTAGCGGTTCTAGCGACTAACAGAGATTCCGCTCTCTAAAGAACTATTCCAGTCCAAGGAACTTCTCACCCGAGCATCACCCAGGTTCAGGAAATACTCCAGATTACAACCACATAAGCTGGAATTGTTCTTGCTGCCGAACAACCAATAACAGATTGGCGGATCAAAATCTGACGCTTCCTCAAAACTGGCGAACTACATACCAAAAACTGGACAGCTCAGTGAATCCGCGCCTGTAGTGCCAAATATGCAGTCGTCAAAAATATCTTTTGCTGTTGGACAGACTCGGGCGTACTCCTTACTTGCTTACATGGAGATGAAGTACACCAATGCATCAAGGACACTCACGATGGTGCCGGAGGAAATCACTCCAGCGGACGAGCCCTCGCCCTGAAAATAAAAAAAAACAGGAAATCAGGCCTAGAACTATCAGAACTAGGCAGCCCGGTACTATAACAAGAAGGTGCACAACAGACATTTCAACAAAGGCAATCTAGTTCTCCGGAAAGTCTATGACAATACCAAAGAAGACAACACAGGAAAACTCGAAGCAAACTGGGAAGGCCTTTACACCATCACCAACATGGATAAACTTGGTGTTTATCGACTTGAAACAATGGACATCGAATTGATTCCTCGAGCATGTAACTCTTTGAGCCTCAAGCGATAATACAACTAGATCGGCATCATGCACAAAAAGGGAATAATACCTATGAACTAATAAACGGTTTGATCTCCGAAAGTTGTACATAGGCAACCTATCTTCGGATGGGTGCAATTGCTCCCCTCCTTAAACCGGGGGGGGGGGGGGGGGGGGGGGGGGAATTGTTCTTGCTGCCGAACAACCAATAACAGACTGGCAGATCAAAATCCGACGCTTCCTCAAAACTGGCGAACTACATACCGAAAACTGGACAGCTCAGTGAATCCGCGCCTGCAGTGCCAAATATGCAGTCGTCAAAAATATATTTTGCTGTTGGACAGACTCAGGCGTACTCCTTACTTGCTTACATGGAGATGAAGTACACCAATGCATCAAGGACACTCACGATGGTGCCAGAGGAAATCACTCCAGCGGACGAGCCCTCGCCCTGAAAATAAAAAAAAAACAGGAAATCAGGCCT